GAGTTAAAGATAATGGTGATGGAATAATTTGGAAAAGGATAGTGAGAATAGCAGCACAACTGGAAGAATGTAATCGATGTCACTGAATTGTACGTGTAGAAACTTTCAAAATGGTGTAACTTTGGCTATGTATATTTTCACCAAAAAAAAGGTTCTCAAGGTTGAGAAGGGAGAATGTTGACATGTCGTGGGCTCGGTAACCAATGCCATAAAACAATATGTGTGCTGACTGTTTAATGAGAAACTATTTGTTCTGTAAACCTTCATCTAAAGTACAATTTAAAAATTTTTAAAAATAAATAAATATTTTTAAAAAATTGACTGAATGAATTAAATCCACTGAGCAAACTCAAATGCTTCTAGGAACCAGGAAGTTAATGTAAATGAATACAATTTCCTGAATGTAGGACTCTAGGTCAGGCGTTGGCAAATTCTTTCTATAAAGGTTATATCATAAATATTTTTAGTTTTACAGACCATAGGGTCTTCTGCCCGTGTAATATGAAACCAGCAATACACAGCATGTAAACAAATGAGTACTGCTGTGTTCCAATAAAACTTTATTAACAAAAACAAGCAGTGGGCCATAGTTTACCAAACTGCTTAAGATGGTGGTAGTCACCATGGGCATCTAAAGTGAGCAGCCACCACTGGGCCAAAGCAGACTGTCGCTATGTGGGAACACTGGCCCAGCGTTGCCTATGTTCAAGAGGAACCTGACAGGTAATCTAAATTTCCCCCAATTTAAAAAATATTCAAGGGCCAATACAAAACACATTTATGGCCCAGAATTAGCGTAAAGATCATTAATTTTGAACCTCTGACTTAAAGAAATATCACGTAACAGGCACTGTCGTGTTGGGCATACTTTCACTCAGTGAATTCTTAGAAAAACCGTATTTAGGAAATACTGTTATGCACATTGTACAGAGGAGGAAGCTAAGGTCCATCCTCTCCAAGGCCATATAGCTGGTAATTCACGAACCAGGATTCAGGCCTAGATCTATTGCACTAAAAAGTCTACATTCTTTCCACTTCACTGCCGTTTTTAATATTCACAGCCTGCACTTATGAATGACAAGTGGAATCTTGGGCTTTAGCAATTCTCAGAACCTATTATGCACTTGTCTTCACTCCCCAGCAGCGTCCTATTGTATGTATGCATCATGTACAAGCTTCCGCACAGGTGATGATACATAAACAAAAACCTTCCCAACGTTTGTGCCTTCCAAGACTCCTGATTTGTGTTCATTCTCATGACAAGTGGGAAGGTAAATTTAAAAAAATGCTGATGTCCATAAGCAGGTAATGAATAAACAAACGACGATATCCATATCATGGAACAGAAAGGAATGAACAATTGATACACACAACAGCATAAGCCGATCTTAAAATCAGTATGCGGCATGGAAGAAGCCAGACAAAAAAGGGGTACATACTGCATGACTCCATTTACATGAAATTCTAAAGAACACAAACTCATCGAGAGTGACCGAAAGTAGATCAATGGTTGCCTGGGACCAGCAGGGGCACCTGCCAGCATGTGTGGCAAGAGGCAGTAAAGAAGGACTCAAAGCGGCACAAGAAGACTTTTGGGGCGATGAATATGTTTATCATCTTGATTGTGGTGGTGGTTTCATGGGTGTATACATAAGTCAAAACGTATCAAAGTGTTTCTGTATGAGCAGTTTATTATATGTTAACTGTACCTCAACAAAGCTTTAAAAACAAAAAACTGTAGAAACTAAATCTGAACCTAGATTTGACATTTTTGTGAAAGAAAAACTGGTGTGTAAGGCATATCCTCAGTCATTCCTGGGATGTTTGGTACTTCCCCCTAATAAGACACATTTCCCCCTGAAGGAGTTTATATTATGGGAGGAAGAAGGAGTGCAGCCTCGAAGCTGGCCACATGAAACAGCCAGCAAAGACCAGAGATGGGTCTTATCCACAGGTATTTCCTATGCAGCTGAACACATAATCTTTTCAATGTCTCTAAAAACAATTACAAGGGGCCCAGGCAGTGCAGTGGTTAAAGCGCTTGGCTGCTAACCGAAAGGTCAGAGGTTCCAACCCACCAGCCACTCTTCAGGAGAAAGATGTGGCAGTCTGCTTCTGTAAAGACTTACAGTCTTGGAAACCCTATGTGGCAGTTCTGCTCTGTCCTGTAGGGTCGCTATGAGTCGGAATCAACATGACAGCAATGGGTTTGGTTTTAAAAACAATTACAGTAAAACTTGGGAAAGCCAGAAACTGTGTAAGGCAGAAGAATCCTGTCAGAGAAGGAAAATTAAAATAGTTTCCACTAAAATGAGCAATAGAAAAGTGGTAAAACTGCACCCTGTCAAAGGCAGAAAACTTGCACGACCTGGAAAAACAAGGCAGTTATGTTGAGTTGCCGCTCTCACAGGTTTCACTGTACTTTAAACTGGGCTCTAATACAAAGACCATCTGACTTTAGAAATGTAATTCAATTTGATTTCAATATTCATGGGAAACATGCAAACAACTCATTCAAAGGTACCACTTATTTTTTTAAAAGATGAAACTTATGCAATTATAAATGTATTCTTCACCTGACACAGGAAACATTATAATACATTAATAAAAACAGAAAAACAGCAATTAATTTAACTATCTTATATTCTTTCCCCTGGCTGCCAAATTTTATGCTTAATCATAGCAACTATATTAAACTTTGTGATTAGGACTTCTATTCCATATCTTTTTTCCATGTTTCATATTTTTCATGTATATTTCCTTTTATAAAATCCAGAGCGATAAGATTAAAATGTAGCCCAGTGAAGGGAATTCGGCTGCGATGCTACAACTTACCAGAGGGCCAGTTCATATTCTGGTAGAGAAGAGTAACTAGCCAGGTATGTGCCACAGTGACTGAAGGTAAGTAAAGTGTAGTCCAGAAGAACATTGCCTAAAACATAAAGTCGAATAGAAAGACTTTGTTATCATGTTCCCATTAACTATAGCCTTATAGTTTACTTCCCTTTTCTAACCATTTTCACAGACTTCAAAAGAATTTAGCTCTTGGAATAATAGATCTCCTTGCTGCTTTCTAAGACTATAAACAGAAAACTAAGAGCAACGTTAAGGTCAATTTTTAAAAGATAGTAGAGTGAATGAAAACCACTAGGTCACCATTTCCAGACTTCAATGTAGAACCATAGTACACTGTATCATATATGTCTCAGCATGAATTTAATGACCCAAGAGCCATAAAATATTCCATAAATATAAAACACATTGTAATTAGAAAAGGTACTTAAGCAACCTTAAATACCTTGAATCGTAATAATTCTAGCTTATTTCCTTATCTCTCTATACCTTAAGACTTATCTGGTCCTTAGCTTAATATCTTCAAGCTCTTGGAACAGCTACAAAAAAGGTCTCTTCCCATTTGTACCTATAGTTGAGTAAATACAATATGACTTTAAAAGTCTTAGCAACAACATATTTAAAGTGCACATGATGGGATGCTAAAATAGGGAATTGTCTGCCTGTGCTCCTTGTATATGGGGCTCTGATCTTTCCTCTCCTTGTATCTGCTTTTCCTTGTTCTTTTGCCTTCTCCTACGTCTATTTTTTATTTGTGTCTTTGTTGCCTGGTCAGTGTTTAATGTCTGTTTCCTGCTTTTTTACCCTTCTCACTTTAATTGACCATATTATAACCCTAAAACATGACTTTTTGTCATTTGTCGAATTTATTCAGTACAGTCAACAAAAAAGTTAATGTGCATTTATTCAGCATTCAATGGAAAGATAATTTTTTTTTCTTTGGGATAGAGGCCTTAATAGAATGATTTTTTATCCTGAATATACAGACATTTCTACCCATAACTGAAGATTATTAATTTTATATTTTCTTTAAACTTATTTTAAATTAAAAAATTAATGGTTTTTGAAGAAAAAAATTTTAAAGCACAAGAGGAAATATATATCTTCTGTAATTACACTACCAAATTTCGTACATGTCTTCATGGTATTTTCTTCTGTGTTCTTGTAAAAATACATATATATATATATATTTTCTTTAAATATAGCTTTGTTTTTATAGGTGTAGTAATCATGGATTCAATGTTATGTATAATATCAATATTTAAAATGGAATTTGAATATTATACATAGTGTTACGTCCTATTTTTTTTATTTACTTTATATTGAGCATTTTATCATCCTCTTAATGATTTCTCAAAAATGATTTTAATGTTTGCATAATCCCCCCTTATGGGTTGTTTTAACTTATTTAAACATATTCATATTACAAGAGATAGAGACTGTTTCCAATCTTTTGCTATTATAAATGACGGTGTATTTAACTACTTAGCACTCAAATCTTTGACCATACTTCTGATTATTTCCTTAGGATTCTAGTTCTAGAGGTGGGCTTACTGGGTCAAATACAATAAATATTTTACTTCACAGAAAGACTGTATCCATTTATACTCACATCTTCAGCAAAAAAAGAGGGCCACCAATTTCACTGCACTCTGCCTAGCAATTATGATCTTTAAGAGACCTGTTACCTTGAGAGGTAAGAAAATAGCATCTTAGTTTAAATTGCATTTGTTGTTATTGTTAATATTGAGATGGAATATTTTTTGATGTTTTTGGTCATTTGCAGTTTTGTGATTTGTCTGGGCAAGTCCCTTTTCCATTGTTCTAATGGGATATTTGTCTTTTTCTTATTGCTTCCTAAGCACCGTGAAAATATTTGATCATCATATTTGTTCCAAATATTTTCCCTAGCTTATTATTTGCTTTGTAATTTTTCATGCTGTTTTTGATGTTCATCAGTTTTAAACTGTCATATAATCAATCTTTTAATTTTTAATTTCTTCTTTTGTGTGCTTGCGAAGTTCTTCTCCTCCTACAATCAGTTCAATATTCTACTATACTTTCTTCTATTTTTTAACTGGTTTTGTTGTTTATATTTAACTCTTATTTTCACCTGATACATGTTTTGATATACAGAGTAACATGAGCATATAACTTGATGTTTTTATTCAAATAGTTAATTCTCCTAATACCATTATTGAATAATCCATACCCAACCCACTTTTTTGTGGGGGGAGGGGGATTCTTTCATCATATACTAAGTTTTTATATATTCTAGATTCTGTTCCCAGTCTTCTTCAACTTTTCCACTCATGCTATAACCCCTGCCCCAATGCCACCCTCTTTGTTACTGTACCACCACAGTGTTAAAAAGGCCATCTCCCCATCATCACTGCTTTTACAATTGCTTTCATTTTCAACTGTTCTTCCAGCTGAGTTCTGCAATCATTTTAGTTAAGTACTCCTTGTTCTCTACAACATACGATAAAATGATGAATATTTTCTGTGAAGAATATCAGAAATATAATTACCAGACTTCCCATCCAGGAATATGTCCCTATATATTTAAATCTTTTAAATCAATAATTTTTGTTTTCTTTATTTAGATAACTCACAAATCTCCTTTGGATAATTTCTAAATGTTTGAATCTTCTAATTGTGTGGGTATTTATTTTGAAACCATCATCTTACTGAGCATTCTCTTATTAGTCCTAATAGGTTTTTTTTTTTTTTTGGACTTTACTTGAATTTTCTAGGTAGACTATCACATTACCCACAATTTCATCTTATTTCCCATAGCTGTATTTTTTTTCAGTTTCATATTTTGTTGGCATTAAGTAACAGTGGTAATAACAGGTATAACTGATGACTTATTCCTAATTTTATGGTGAACGCCTTTAGGGTTTCATTATTCAATATGAATGCTGGTTTCTGGTTTGAATTCATTTTCAATTACTCTGACAGGGCTAAAGCCAAATAACCAGGAGAGGAAATTTTAAAGATGATGGGTAGCTATAGTCCGCACAGAAAGTTCCCCACATATGAATGGGTTATGGTTTTAAAAGTTGTTTTAATCTGTTGAGAAGGTAGATGAATTTCCCCACAAATAAAATGTTGTTAACATTTATAAATTACAGTGAAGTTCCCTGGCTTGTCTTCAAACATTTATTTGACCCATAAGGTTACAGAACTAAGACCAGCCTCAAGCTCTCCTGAGCTTTCTGTCCATGGATGTGCTAAATGAAGAAACTGTTAGAGGTTCTACTAGTTGTGCTCTGTACATTTTTTTTTTTTCATTTATCATCACAGTTCTGACATTAAGTACTACCATTATTCCCTTTTTATGGATGAGGAAACTGAGGCTCAGAGATTTGTCTTTAGAAGTTACACAAACATCAATTAACCTGAATTTTCAATAAATCATCAGAAAGGGAAAAAAAAAAAAGCACTGCTCTGAAAAAAGGTTTCAAACTGAATTTAGAGCTATAATAGAGTCTTCTAGCCCATGGGCTCTCACAGCTTAATGTGCAATGAATCACCTCAGAAATCTTGTTAAAATACAGATTCTGATTCAGTAGATGTGGGATAGGACTTAGACTCTGCACTTCTAACAAGTTTCCAGGCGGTGCCAATTTTTTTGTAAAACCAAACCAAACCTGTTGCCAGTCGAGTCGATTCTGATTCTTAGGATCTTATAGGACAGAGTAGAACTGCCCCATAGGGTTTCCAAGGAATAGCTGGTGGATTCGAAATGCTGACCTCTTGGTTTAGCAGCTAAGCTCTTAACCTCTGTGCCACCAGACTCCAATATTTTGGTAAGCAGACCATATTTTGAGTATCAAGGCTCCAGGCCACTTAATTAAATCCTCATTGATCATCTTGGTTCCTTCTTTAAAATGTGTACTTAAAAACAAAAAAAAATTCATTTATAAGAACTAGATTTGGTTACATCTTAGAACAAAATCCTTGAGTTATGGCAGAGGAAAAGTCCAGCAGGATACCTTTTAATTTGGTCCTTCTGGTCATTCCAGGAAAGTCGTATATGTAGATGAGGGGTTTTAGCCTTCGATCTGAAAAAGCCACAACTTCATAGGGTATGTTAGTTGCCACGATGCCCACAATTCCACTCACACACTGGAGTACTGTCTTTTCCTTGGTTTCAAGATTAATAAATATTACGTAATTCCCAGAGGGGTAGCAAATGGTTTCATTGTTGACAAACTGGACATTCTGCTTAGGGAATCCATGCACCCATCTTTGGGAAAAAAATGTCACCATCAGTATAATACGTTTCAAATACTTTCTCGGTCTTTTTTTTTAACAAAGCAACCAAAAAGTCATCAAAGTCTCTGAAACACATCTACTCCATTTTTGCCCCCTTTCTGCCCATAACAATCTCTAAGATAAAAGAATACATAGTCCTGGCGGTGAGAACAGTTTGAGTCCACAAACCGTAGAAGTTTAAACGTAGACCTGGCCTCAAGAGCCTTCTTCAGAGAACTTTTTTTTTTTTACTAATGCAAGCCTGAGAAAGCCTCAGAAAGATTGCTAGGGTCATGTATACCTGGAGAAAAAGTGAAAACACACAGAGAAAAGGGCTTGATCCTAATAGAAAACAGGGCACATCCTGGGCTGTTCTTTTACTGGGCTGTTTTGCTTTTAAAAATAAACTTAACACACACACAGCTTTAATGTGACAGCATGCTTTGTCGTTGTGAGTAGGAAAATTGCTTCTTTTTAAAATAAAGCGTGTGTAGCCATATTTCAGATGTAAAAAGACAGATATATGCAGAAAATAAAGAGAATGAAGTCGACATGAAAGAAAAGAGTGGTTAGAACACAAAAGGAACGTATTTTTAAGTAAGGAGTGTGTAATGCTAGAAGGAAGGAGTCTGAGATGAGGGGAGATTCTACTTTTATTTAAATACTAAAGATATACTTGAAGATGGTGGAAAAAGCAAGTGAAGGATACTGGTTTTTGTGCAAGATACTGGAGAGTACCGCAGGACTGGCGGAGGATGTTGTACGGAATAGAATGCTGGCATCATTCACGTTAGAATGGGGAGGAAAGAAATAACATCTTGTATCTATGCTGCACTTCATGCTTTTCAAGGGCCCCTTTAAATGCAAGTAAATCCGAAGCTAACAGATGGGAGTTAGAAGAAAGGAATTTACAGTCCTAACTTTGGGGAAAATCATCGAAGACGGAAACGGCAGGGATGGAAAAGGTGCCGTCACTGGGATGTGAAGGGATGTTTAGGAAAAGTCAGGGGAAACGGATCACTGAAGGGAATACTGAGTAGAAGGAAGGGGCAGAAATGGAGGTGACCGAAGAGGAATACTGAGTAAGCAAGCAGCGGTCGGAGTCGCAGAAAAATGAGGGATGAGGAGAACAAACTGGGGACGGGATCACTGAACAATGGGATGGGGGGATAGAAGAGACCACAGGGACAGAGTCTGCGGGAAGGCTTTTTGGGAGGTGTCGGAGAAGAAGTCGAAGTTATGGGGAAGAGCAATTCTAAAGAATGGGAGGAAGAAGAGGGTAGGTAGAGGGTGCAGGTCAGAAGGAGGAGTTTCTGAGCAAGAACAAAGTCCGTCGCGGGACTGTGGACGCCACACCTCACGAACAAGGACGGGCTGCCGGAGAGTTGGTGGGAGTCTTCTCGCTCCTGGTCCTGCACCATGGCCCGCGCTTCTCTCAGACGGGCCGCCAGCAGCAAACACCAGACCTTGGCTCCGGGTTGCAACCGTTACTCCGCGGCCGCAAGCAGCCAGGCTAGCTTGTCCTCCATTGTTTACACTCGTATCACGGAGACCGTAACTCCCGCGCCCATTGGCTCTGCCCTTTCAGACGCTTCCTCTCTAGCCAAGTGGATTGGTGGAAGCGCTTCCGCGTCTCGACCAATGGCAAGCGGCGAGAGAAGCGAGGGGCGGGCCCTACCCGGACAGTCGGACGGCGGGAGACGGCAGCTAGGAGCAGGACTGGCTGGACCCGGAGACTGACAGGCCAGATTGAGTGCGGAGAGGCCCAGCCCCAGGCTAATACTAAATATCAACGATAGCCGACATTAATATTGAGTGCTGGCCATACCAAACGTTGTTTCAAGCGCCATGCAGGCATTATTTCATTTAATAATCACATCCTCCGTGAGCCCCATTTTACAGATAAGGAAAGTGAGGGTAACAGCAGTAACTTGCCCGAGGCTACAAAGCTGTTGTTGTTAGGTGCCCTCCAGTCGGTTCCGACTCATAGCGACCTTATGTACAACAGAATGAAACACTGCTCGGTCCTGAGCCATCCTCACAATCGTTATGCTGGAGCCCATTGTTGCAATCATTGTGTCATTCCATGTCGTTGAGGGTCTTCTCTTTTTGGCTGACCCTCTGCTTTACCAATCACGACTGGTCCCTCCTGATAACATGTCCAAAGTACGTGAGACAAGTCTTGCCCTCTTTGCTTCCAAGGAGCACTCTAGCTGTATTTCTTCCAAGACAGATTTGTTCGCTCTTCTGGCAGTCCATGGTATTTTCAATATTCTTTGCCAACACCATAATTCAAAGGCGTCAATTCTTCTTTGGTCTCCCTTATTCATTGTCCAGCTTTCACATGCATATGAAGCAATTGAAAACACCATGGCTTTGATTAGGCGCACCTTAGTCCTTAAAGTGACATCTTTGTTTTTTAACACTTTTAAGAGGTCTTTTGCAGCAGATTTGCCCAATGCAATACGTCGTTTGATTTCTTTTAAGCTGAGTGGGGCTTAAATCTAAAAACCAAAAAAACAAAAACAAAACACAAATCCATTGCCGTGGAGTTGATTCTGACTCAAAGCAACACTTTAGGACAGAGTAGAATTACAGCATAGAATTTCTAAGGCTTTAATCTTTATGGAAGCTGACTGCTACGTCTGTCTCCCTCAGAGTGACTGGTAGATTCCACCTGGTGGATTCAAACGCTGACCTTCCTGGTTAGCACCCCAGCATAACCTCAGAACTCCAAGCCGTTAATTACTATGTTACACTTTTGAATATACCCTATGCCAACTGAAGGAGGCAGATAGCCTCTGGATGTAACCTGATCCAATGGTCTGCAGCTTGTCCTTGCTTCTTCCCTTCAGTCCTCTCCCATGTCCTCCTCTTCCCCTGCCTTTCTTTAGGTCTCTCCTTCAGGTCTTCCTACCTTCGCTCCTTCATTTCTTTTTCAGATATTTATTGATCGTCTCCCATGCATTGTGCTAGTCACTTAGAACAAAATAGTAAGCAAAACAGATAAAATGCCTTCCTTCTTGGCACTTAGAGACGAGGAGCAAAGAGGAGGAGGGTAGACATCCATCTATTGTACAATATTGCACAGATACAGACTTATCGGTTGAAATAAGAAGAAAAGGAACATGGTATCCTGAGAGCTTATTTTGGGATCCTCAGCTAGTTGGATGGGCAGTGTCAGGGATGGTTTCTGTGTCTTTTTGCTGAGAGTGAAAGGATGAGGCATGATTGCTGGAAGGTGGAGGAGGGAGGTTGAAGGGACAGCTTTTTAATGGTATTATTGCAGGTGGACAGATTGGATGAACTGGGAAGGACGGTGTGAGTGGAGCAGAGGGAGACAAGAATAAAATGCTGAAGATGAGGCTGGAGAGGGAGCCAAGGGCCAGTAAAAGGTCAAGTTGAGAATTCTGATATCCTAAGAGCCATGGTAAAGGAGCCCTGGTGGCACATTAGTTAAGGGCTTGGCTGAAGCCCTGGTGGTGCAATGGTTAAGAGCTCGGCTGCTAACTAAAAGTTAGCAGTTGGAATCCACCAGCTGCTCCTTGGGAACCCTATGGGGCAGCTCTACTCTGTCCTGTAGGGTTGCTATGAGTCAGAACTGACTTGATGGCAACGGGTGACAGGTGCTAACTAAAAGGTCAGCTGTCGGAACCCACCAGCCACTCTGCAGAAGAAAGATGTGGCTTCTACTTCTGTAAAGATTATGGTCTTGGAAACCCTAGGAGGTAGTTCTACTCTGTCCTATAGGGTCTCTACGAGTCAGAATCCACTTGACAGCACACAACAACAAGAGCTATGGAAAGATATTAAATGGTTTTAAGCACAGGAATGAGATTATCAGATTTATGAGAAATTGTTCTGGCTGTAGGAAGATTATCAGTTGAATGGAAGAGCAGAGAATAGAAATAGGATATTTTGTTAGCTGTCTGCCTCATGGTCCAAACAAGTCAACTAAAGCATAGTTTGTCAACCTTGACTCTTTCGGCATTTGGGGATGGGTAGTGGGGAATGTCCTGTGCATTGTAGAATGTACAGCAGCATCCCATGCCCTTTAGCAATCATCCCCCATTCCTCCTCCCAACCCCACCCCTCAGTCCTAGGCAACCACTAATCTTCTTTTTGTCTCTGTAAGTTTGCCTATTCTGGACATGTCATATAAGTGGAGTCATATTACATATGTCTTTTCACTTTCTTAATGGTGTTCTTTGAAACAGATAAGTTTTAATTTTGATAAAGTCCAGTTTTTCTATGTTTTCTTTTGTTGCTTGTGCTTTTGGTGTTTTATCTAAGAAACCATTGGTTAATCTAAGGTCATAAAGATTTACGCCTGTTTTCTTCTAAGAGTTTTATAATTTTTGCTTTTATGTTTAAGTCTTTGATCCATTTTGGTTTAATTTTTGCTTATAGTGTGAGGTCAGGGTCTTTTCCTGTGTGAAGACACCCAGTCAACATGGAAAACAAGCCTAAAATGATCCTTAAAAAAGAGCCTTTTGGATCAGTACCTGTGTAAATGACCATTACAGGTCAGCTTGCCTGTGACCCTTTCATCATGTGTAAACACAGGAATGAGCTATGCTCAGGAGAGAGGTCATTTCTAGGTGATCCAGGTCAGAAAGCTCTTAGAGGGTGACTTTTAAAATATTTTCTAAGGAGAGAGGATAGGCATAGGAAAATATGATTTCCAAATCAATGGTACTGTGTAAATGTAATAATCCCTTTTATGAAGCTGCTACTCCCTGCCTCGCATCTTACATCTTTGTGTTACGTGTACTATTTTCTCCTCATTGTATAGACAGGAAAACCGGGTTTTAGAAAAGCTAGGATTTTTTGCCCCAAATCTCACAACTTTCAAATGAATTTGAACCCAGGTAGTTTTAATTATCTTAAAGAACCCTTCTTTACAGGAGATGTGCAGACTCGGAAATTTTAAATTAAGTTGGTCATTGAGTTTGGATTGAACGTTTTTCTGGAAGAAGAGGAACAGTAGGGAATCGATCATAATTCCCAGAACTTTTAGAATCAGTGATATGGGAAGAGGTCACATTTTTATGGAGATCCTGGACTGTAAGCAGTTAATAAAAATGATGGAATGTTATTATTTTGTGCATCTAGTCTGAGAAACTCAGATTTTACTGGCAAACTTCAAATATATGCGTGTGTCTATGACACATGGTAAGGAGCCCTGGTGACACAAGGGTTAAAGCGCCCAGCTGTTAACAAAAGATTGGAAGTTCGAACCTACCAGCAGCTGGGTGGGAGAAAAGACCTGGCGATCTGCTCTGGTAAAATGACAGCCTAGGAAGCCCTAGGGGGCAGCTCTACTCTGTCCTATAGGGTCACTATGAGTCAGAATAGACTCAACAGCACACAACAACAACAGCATAGCTCATGTTCTGACTCATAGTGACCCTATAGGACAGAGTAGAGTTGTCCCCTAGGGTTTCCTAGGCTGTAATCTTTACGGGAGCAGATTGCCAGATCTTTTCTCCCACGGAGTCTCTGATGGGTTCAAACCATAGACCTTACAGTTAGCAGCCGAGTGCTTAACCATTGTGCCACCAGGACTCTTTGTCACATTTGGCCTACCCCTAATTCTGGGGCAATAATACAAATAGAGACTGACAAACTATTTGTCCAACCATTGAAAATTAATTATTATGTTTAAAAAGTCAAAATAAAAATTATAAAAATGAAAATTCAAAATTCGAGTCAAAATTGTTTAAATAAAGCTAAAATTTTTCATTTAACTGTTTAGATTAATTAAATCTTATTAAATATTTTTATATAAACAAGGCTATCTGCAATTCTAGTGTTCAGTGTTCATCCAGTTGCCAAAGTACAGAATTAGTTTCACGCTTCACATATGTCACATCTAGATATTATGTATGTATGTGTGTGACATGTACTGGTAATGGGGAAAGGAGCCCCGGTGGTGCAAACAGTTAAGCCCTGGGCTGCTAACTGAAAGGCTGATGGTTCAAACTCACTTAGTGGCTTTGCGGGAGAAAGACCTGGTGATCTACTCCTATAAAGATTACAGCCTAGAAAACCCTATGGGGCAGTTCCATTCCGTCACATGGGGTCACCATGAGTCAAAATTGACTTGATGGCTCCTAACAACAGTAACGAGAATTGTTTCATCTTGCAAAACATTCCCAGCCTCCATGTACAAATGTTGTGTACTAATTTGTGAGAACTCCTGGAACCCCAAATTGGAACCCAAAGAGAAGCAAGAAAATAGTTACTTGATTATCCTAGAAAATGATACTTAGTTATGTGTGAGTTAATACATTCATGTTCTCTGAAAGGAAGGAGTGGACTACTTCTGCCACTCAGATCCTACCCACACTCCCAAAGCAGTGTCTGTCTCTGATGTCAGCAGGGGCACAACCCACAAACCTCACAGCGTTCAAAGACAGTAGCTATTTGTTTCAAGAGCATGAGGCAAGAGGCATATAGAAGCATTTCTCTGGGGTGGGAAAGGGTTAGTCACAACAGCAAATCTTTCTGGTTACAGTTGTGATGGGGGAGTGTTGAACACTAGATCCCATCGGACAGAGACAGCTGTGTGTTCTTTAATAGACTTATTTGTGTGTGTCTGTGATACGTGAGACCCTCTAAAGCATGGGGTCCATGGCAGGGGCACCCCTTGCAGGGTCTCTGGATGGTACTATGTCACATGTTTGACAAACTATACACTTAAGTGAAAGATAAATAATGTAGGAGGAAGACTTTGTAGGAGATGATAGAGCAGAACAGTGAAATTTATAAGTATGACAAAATACAAGAACAAACAAACAAACAACCATTTGCGCAGTGGATTCCAACTCATAGTGACCCTAAAGGACAGAGTAGAACTTCCCCATAGGGTTTTCAAGGCTGTAAATCTTTACAGAAGCAGACTGCCGCATCTTTCTCCTGCAGAGTCACTGGTAGTTTCAAACCACCAACCTTCCGGTTAGCAGTGGTGTGCTTAAACCATTGCACCACCAGGGCTCCTTATTCACAGGATAAACCAAAAAACCCAAACCCGTTGCCACTGAGTTGATTCTGACTCATAGTGCCCCCATACGACAGAGAAGAACTGCCTCATAGGGTTTCCAAGGCACTGCTGGTGGGTTTGAACTGCCAGCCTTTTGGTTAACAGCCAAACGCTTAACCACTGCGCCACCAGGGCCCCTATTTACAGGATAAGGGCCTCCAATTCTTGATCTTTAATCAGCAGAATCAATTCAAGCTAGGGCTCTCAGGTTAATTATTGACAATTATAGCTGCAAAAATGTGCAGTACCGTATGTACCCTTTTAACTGTGACTAACAGCAGAGTGTATCCAAATGTTCACATATTACATGTACAGCCACGAAGGACTTGGAGATGATCTATTATAATGCATAGCAGTAATGCAGTATGTACTTAGTTTTACCGAGACGGTATCTTTTATTTTCAATTTATTTCTTTGAGAAACTAACTTTTTCTTTATTGATGGGTTGCATCTTTCAAATCATTACAACAAAACATTACACCATTCATATCGATTAGGGGACAGGCCATTCCAAATAAATGGTCTAAAATGTAAAAATTTTTAAATGTGGTTTTAGAATTTTCTAGTGGAAATAATACCTTGAGTGATTTTTTTAAAAAAATTAACTTTAGCCAATCAGATGTTTTGCCCAGCAAAGTTTATATTTACAGTGTTAATTTGTATCACACAGATTATTTTCTTAAAAAGCTTTAATTAGTAAGGCCCATGGTCTAATTTTTTTTTTAATTTAGTATTTGTTTATGAAGTTAAATATGTTCTTACTGTTGTTGGTTGCCGCTTAGTCCACTCCGATCCATGTCGACCCCATGTGTGCAGAGTAGAACTGCTCCATAGGGTTTTCAAGGCTGGGACCTTTCTGGCAGTGGCCCTCCCAGTAGTCATACTAAGTCATAACAGGAGCCTTTGGAAGTATGGACCATGTAAGGGAGCACTGACCCCTGGTCACAGGCCCTAAAGTCGGGGAAACCTCGAGGAAGAGGGGGAATGTGACAAGGACGCCCGTTCTAAGGGCAGTGCACTTATAGGACACAGTGTTATTAACCGCGGAATGATGGTCTGCTTTCTGAAAGCACCTATTTATTAAACATTTGGTCTTTGAAACCTTAGTAAAGGCCTACGCTCAGAGTCAGGCAGCTGGGCTGAGTGAATTTAGGCAAAGTTCTGGCCAGAAGATTCACTTAAACAGCCCCGGAACGCAGGGGTCAGGAAAGAAAAGTTCAAGGGCACCATGACAGCATTAGACTTTTATTAAAAAAACAAAACAAAACCCATTGCCGTCAAGATTCCGACTCATAGAAGTGTCTCCATAGGGTTTCCAATAAGCAACTGGGAGATTCGAACTGCCAACATTTTGGTTATCAACCGATCTCTTACCACACTACAACTTGCAGCAGGTTTTTTGACTTGTGGGTTTACAATGCCAGGTTATCAAAATGCACATATGTTCTGAGAGGACGGCCGGAGGCGCTTTCTGGGCGGGGTGCGAGGTGTGGGATCCGGGGAGGTCTGGTCAGGCGTGGACCTGCCAGGAGGGCTGACTGGAGACCACCTTCGTTGGGACGGAGGAATGGCTCTGAAGATTTCGAGCCTTTTGTGTGCATTTGAACGCGGGAGCCTCTCTTGGTTAGCCCCATACATTTTGGCACAAGCGCAACCCGCCGTGTTTTAAGAGATATCCCAGGCAAACCGCGAAGCCGGGGCGGGGCGCCTCGGCGAGGGTTCTCGGCCGCGTTTTCCCTAAAGCGCTCAGGCTGCAGTGGCTGCGTGCTCCTTGGTGCAGACAGAGCAGAACTGCCCCATAGGATTTCCAAGGAGCGGCTGGTGGATTCAACGTGGCTGACTTTTTGGTTAGCAGCTGAGCTCTTAACCACTGTGAAACCAGAGCCTGCGTGCGTCGGGCAGGGTCGCCCACAGAACTCGTGGGCTTGCGGATTCACTTTAAGCGCTCAGGCTGCACCGGTACTGGGCACCCACGCTCGGGCGGCCCACTGCCCTTCGCACTGCGGTCGAAGGGAGGGGCGACTACTTCCTGAATCGTTGTCAAACCCTGAGCGGAGAGCCTGCGCTGCGCCACGATGTCGGAGAGGTCAGCTCGGAGCCTGGCGAAAGGTGAGGCCTGCCCGCCGCGGGTCTGGGTCCGAGGGCAGCTCCTCCAGGGGTGAGGCCGCCCGGTCGGGCTCACATGTGCGGGGATCGCGCCCGGCCGCCGCGCGCGGGACCTCTCCGCCGCCGGGCCCCGCATGGCGAGAGGGTGGGGATCGCGGACCGCTTTCCCGGCCATAACCGCCCCCGCTTAACTCCGGCAGGCAGCGAGCCCCCAGGGCCGGTCCCGGAGGGCCTGATCCGCATCTACAGCATGAGGTTCTGCCCGTTCGCGAAGAGGACGCTCCTGGTCCTGAAAGCCAAGGGAATCCGGTGAGGACGTTGGCTGGAGCTGTTGCGGGCGGCCAGGGTGGGAATTCCGATCTGGCCCCGGGGCTATTTTTTACTGCAAAATAAACTATTCTTAACCTTTTGTGGGGACATAGTTATGGAGTCTCTCCCCTGCGGGGGGAGGGGGAAAGGGGAACCGTGCACTCCACTGTTCTAAAAAACCCATTGTTGTCGAGTCGATTCCGACTCATAGAGACCCTATAGGACAGGGTAGAAGTGCCCCATAGGGTTTGCAAGGCTGTAGTAAATCTTTAGGGCGTCAGACTGCCACATCTTTCTCCCGGCAGAGCGGCTGGTGGGTTCGAACCACTGACCTACCTTTCAGTTAGCAGGGCTCCTAATCTACTGGCCTAGGACACCTCATTTAACCAACCACATGTTTTATCAGAAAAATTGAGGCTCCGGTAAGGCTAATGATTTGCCCTATGTTACTCGGCTGGTAACCACAGGCAGAAGCTTTTAGCCGTGGTAGGTCTCCTGATTTGTGTGCTTCTACCCTTCTGCTTTCGCCACTGTGGTCTCTCCATTCTTGTACTGCTTGTCCTATACATTGTTTGCGTTATTCTGTAGACAGTCCCTCCTTGAATACCGATAGTTTTCCCCAGGACAGAGTCCAGACCTTTACCCACCTAGCAGAGTACTGAGTTAATAGATTCATATATGTTGAGTTATTGGTTGAGTCGAATAAAGGGAAGCATCTATGCCTAAAAATTCAGCCCTTGGCAAAGCTTTGGTATTGAATCTAGCGCGGTTGATATGTGGGTGATCCACAGGAAATATGAAGTAGTAACTTGGCTTTTCTCAGTTGCCACTAAGTATCTATTGGGAAGGCCTCCCTTCCAATGACCTTTGGAATCTGTTAAACAGACATTCATTACATAATCTGTGTTGTGGAAGGCTCTGTGGAAGTTTAAAACGTAGCCCCCATCGTCAAGGGATTTTCCATCTATGTGCTTCAGCAACAACAAAAAAATCCAAACCCATTGCCATCGAGTCACTTCTGACTCAGCAACCCTATAGGACAGAGCAGAACTGCTCCATAGGATGACCAAGGAGCGGCTGGTGGATTCAAACTGCTGACTTTTTGGTTAGCGGCTGAGCTCTTAACCACTGTGAAACCAGGGCTTCCAACTATGTGCTTAGGGTTTGTAAACTAATTTTAGTCTTTGAGGAGGAGAGTGTTTAGGTGGGCAATTCTTTTCCTTAAAAAGAAATCTAAGATGTTGTCTTAGTCATCTAGTGCTGCTCTAACAGAAATACCACAAGTGGATGACTTTAACAAAGAGAAATTTATTTTTTCATAGTCTAGTAGGCCAAAAGTCCAAATTCAGGGTATCAGCTTCAGGGGAAGGCTCTCTCTCACTGTCAGCCTTCTCATCAATGTTTCCCCAGACTAGGAGCTTCTCTCCGTGGGGACCCTGGTCCAAAGGACGTGCTTTGCTCCCGGCACTGCTTTCTTGATGGTATGAGGTCCCCCCAATTCTCCACTTGCTTCCCTTTCCTTTTATCTCTTACAAGAGATAAAAGGTGGTGCAGGCCACACCCCAGGGAAACTCCCTTTAGGTTGGATCAGGGATGTGACCTGGGTTAGGGTGGTGTTACAATCCCACCCTAATTCTCTTTAATGTAAAATTACAATCACAAAATGGAGGACAACCATGCAACACTGGGAATCATGGCCTAGCCAAATTGATACACACATTTTTTGGGGGACATAATTCAAACCATGACAGATGTATGCTAAAGAAAACAATATAAATTATTTTTTAATTAGCCATCGCTTCATTAAGGTTTGCATCTCATTTGGATAACATTATGATTCTGAACACACAGCAAAATATTCATCATTTAGTAAAGTGTATCCAGGTGTTCCTGTAGAGAACACCTCCTGTTGCAAGTAAGAGAAATCTAGTTCAAACCGGATTGGAAAAAAGACTTTTATTGCACTCATATAATTGAAAAATCCAGGGGCAGGATACAGCTGGATTCAGGGGCACAAAGTCTGGGGTTATGTGCCCCTCTCTGGAATCCTAGGTTGAAAACAACCCTACCTTAATTACTGGGATGGGTTTCCAAAGGAACATTGATTTTACCAAAAAATTGTGGAGGGTGATATCTGCTAGGTAGGGCGAAGAGCAGATCTCTACTGCATATTTATGAATTAGTATTAAGTTTGAGCCCCAGGAGACTGTCAAAGATGAAACACTAGATCTTTCTTACATGATATAACCTAAGAAAACATGCCTTTCTCTAAAACGTGCATCTTCCGACTTGTTGCGGCAGGTGTTTTGCCTTGTTGGTTTACGATGCCAGATTACCAAAATGAATGGGTTCTCAGAGCCTTCTTTATCACAAAGGCCCAGGATCGACGTTGTGTTTTCATAGTATGCATTTTCAGAAATTATGTTGATAAGTCCTTGGCAAGTGGCCTTATTTTCCTGGCAGTGGCTGGCATCTGAGTGCCCAGTGTTCTGTCAGCTCATGAACCTTTTAGTGCATACAGACACACACACGCGCACACACGCGCACACACACAGTAGTTTTCAAACTGCTGTTCCTTTGTTTCCATGGGGGATTACGTCTTTAAAACCTCAAAACTCAATTCTGTTCTAGCTACTGCTGTGGATGTGGAAATAGGAAACGAAAGGTGTGTTGTTGGATACTGTTTCTGAGTAACTATTCTTTTGAATTATTACCCAGCTTTGACAATTATATAAAACTGACTTTAACAATTATATGAAACTTTCCTTTCTCTTGTATTGTCTGAAATCTCTCAGGCAAGATACAAGACAGATGGAATTATAATCCAAATATAGCCTGAACGTCACATTTTCTTCCTTATTCATTTACTTTGAATGATTTACCCACCCAACATTTTTTTAAAAAATCAAATCATGGAGATTTAATCTGAAAATCTACTAGGTGGGTGGATTTTTAAGGTTCCTTAACATCCTTTTAAAAAGCAAGGATTTTTTTTTAAAATCCAAATTAGCAAAAGGACTTGGATTTTATCATGTTGATTCTCATACAGTACATACTGGACCCAATTCTATTAGTTGCCTGGTATAATTTAAAATTAAGATACCTCTTAGCCAAAAATGGAGTATAATATTGACAGTCTTGAGGCATTTCCACTTTATTCATTGATTAATTCAACAAATATTTATTCAGTCATTATCTAAAAACTATGTTTATTTTCTTCATAGCATTTAAAGCTCAAATTTTGTTCATTTACATGTTTACTGTTTTATTAATATGAGCAAGATCCGTGCTTTCATGGGGCTTATTCTAGGAAGGTGACAGATAATAAATATGTAAATAAGTTAGCAAGATAATTTCAGATCGATATCATCAGTTCAATGAAGAAAGTAAAACAAGGTGATCATGTAGAAGAGGGAGGCTGGACAGCTGCTTCAGTGTGGATGGGCAGGGAGCACCTCTCTGAGGCTGTGATATTTGACCTGGGATGATGGCCTGGGAAGATGTTTTCCAGGCAGAGGAACAGCAAGCACAAAGACTCCAAAGTGGGAACATGTTTGGCCAGTTCAAGGAATATAAAAAGGTCATTGTAGCCAGATCATAATGACCAGAGGAGAAGTCATAGGAGACAAGTAAGCAGGGGCCATATCCAACATATCTTGATATGGTAAAGAGTTTGGATTTTATCCTCGTTGCAACGAGGAGCGTTTGAGAGACTTTACGCAAGAGGATGGCCTGACTCAGTTAACTTTTGTAAAAACTCACCCTGGCTGTGTGTGAAGAATGGACTGTAGGAAAGTCACAGTGCAAGCAGGGAGGCTGGTTGAGAGGCTTTTGGAAAGGTCCAGGTAAGAGATGATGTTTTAGACTAGGTGGTCACAGTGAAGCTTAGAAGTGGACGGAATCCAGATATAATTCAGAGGTCGAGCTGGCAGGTCGATTTGATGCCAGGTAGGGGGAAAAGGGAAGAAATGTGAGGGTGGCAGGGAGGAATCAAGGCTGAGCTGACTTCTAAAATTGGGATTCTGATCACTAAGCTGATGGTAGGGCCAGTGAGGATTTATTCAAAAGTGCAAAAATGTTTCACTCTCTTCACAGTCTTCTGTATGTCTTTCAGGCATGAAGTCATCAATATCAACCTGAAAAATAAGCCTGAGTGGTTCTTTACAAAGAATCCCTTAGGTCTGGTACCAGTTCTGGAAAACAGTCAGGGTCAACTGATCTGTGAATCTGCCATCACTTGTGAGTACCTGGATGAAGCATATCCAGGGAAGAAGCTGTGGCCAGATGACCCCTATAAGAAAGCTTGCCAGAAGATGGACTTTGAGTTATTTTCTGAGGTTTGTGTATAAGAAATTTCAGCTCCTATTTGAAAAATCTTTGTTTTTTAAGCTAAATCAATGCTGTCATTTATGGCTCAGTGATTTCGAAGAGGAAAACAAGACAGGAAGATACTCTTGTCACCCCTGATACGTCCTGAAGCCCTTTCACGGTCCAGTTCCTGTGTTTACATTTGAAAAATAACCCCTCTTCTCTTCTCCTGACACTTTATGCTCCAGCCAGGCTGAACTTCTTGTTTTCCTACATTTGCCACCTTCTGTCTCACCTCTTCCAGGAAGAAATCTTTCGTATTCTTCCCCCTTCTCACTTTGTCTGCTTATCTCCAACTCATCTTTCATGCTCAGAATGCTGCCTTCCAGAAGCTTGCCCGGATTGGGTTGGTACCCCAGTGCTGTGTTCCCATAATGTGCTGACTTTTCTCTCTGGAGCTTCTAGGCTCATGTATTGTGACTGCCTTCCTTCTTGCCTGTGTATTGCACTAGGGCTGGAACACCTGGAGGGTAAGGGCTGTGTTTTGATCACTGTTGGTTCACTGCCTAGGTTTGTGACCAGCTCTGCCACTTCCTAGTCATGGGACTCTGAACAAGTTACTCTCTGTGCCTCAGTTCTATCATTTGTAAAACAGGTATAATAGTTGTTCCCTCTTCATAAGATAAAGACAAATTAATAAATATAAAAAGCATAGCAGAGTCTGACCCAGGGTAAATACTCAGCGTTAGCTCTTGCTGTTGTAGCCACAGTGCCTAGCAGTGAGCATCTATTGTTTGTTGGCAGTAGCTCTCAGCTGACTGAATAAATAGCATTCCCATAGAAGAACTGTTTGTATTTTCATTGGCATCAGTGTTGTGGATTAGTTCAAACAATCAATATTAACAAAGAAACAACCAAGAGATGTGTGTTTAGACACCAAGAAGAGCAATGCCAGATTATAGCCCTATAATCTTGTTACCTTGGTTGTATGGTCAGCATATTATAAAGGAATATCTTGTCTCTAGAGAAAGAAATACCTGGAAGATGGAAGGGGCTTATAGGAGAGCGTATTGTTTCAGGAGACACTGTAAAGTGAAGCCAATGAGGAAGGAAGAGGGAACTGTCTGACTCAGCAGGATGAGGGTGAAAGAATAGTAGAGATGGCTGCTGTCAGACATGATGGAAGGGAAATATGACATTTTCAAGACAGATCTTGGAGAGTTAAAAAAAAAAAGTAACAAAGACACTCATTGTACTGTCTAGAAAGAAAATGAGCTAAAAAGTAAAGCTGGAGATTGTCTACCATTACTTCCCTACACACATTTGGGAAAGAAGTAGCCTATGTATCACATGACCCCATCCTCCTAGCCAGAGGATCAGACCAGAAAAGGACTTCTCTGCCAGACCTAGGCCAATCAACTTCTCTCCTGGGAACTTGGAACTGAGAAATATAGACAAAGACAATAAAGACATTGAGCTTTGGAGCTGTAAGCTTATGTCTCATTGGGGACTTGACAAAACCAAAAACCAAACTCACTGCTGTTAAGCCAGTTCTGAATCATAGCGACCACATAGGGTTTCCAAGGCTGTAAATCTCTATGGCAGCAGACTGCCACATCTTTCTCATGCAGAGCCACTGGTGGTTTCGAACAACTGACCTTTCGGTTAGCAGTCAATTGCTTTAACCACTGCACCACAAGGGCTCCTCTGACAAAGCAAAGTCATGTAAAAAAGTTTCAAGGAAGCAGGATTAAGAGCATTGCAAAAGGAACAAACAGATGGGAAATGACACAGAGCAGACATATATAAGGAGAAGTAGAGATGATAGACTAGGAAGGCCCGGACAGAAATGTGGGCGAAGGGCTGACTGCAGACCTCCGGTTCCAATGAGGCCAAGCTGTACTGACATCAGTGGAATTTCATGAGATTCTCCTGTATTTCCACAAGTGCCTCTTTACTTAAACTGGGATGAGTCGACTTCTGTCTCTTGCAATCAGATTATATCAAAGACCAGAGTATTAACACACAAATACCAACACAAGCATTAAAGCATCTGTAATGATACCTGTCAAGTCTTAGATAGTTGGCACCTTTTGAACACTTCTCATGTTCTCCCCAAGGTAGAAATCAGAAAAATTCTCTCCCCCAGCTCCATTTGCAGCTAGGGCAAAGGACCTGTGACCTGGGCTCTTCCTGTCAGATATATACACACGAGTCGGAATCGACTCAATGGCAACTAACAACAACAGACTTCAATTCAGAAATGAGCAATGTGAGGAAACAGGTTTGGTGTGGGTCACTGATTCTTTTGGCTACAGTGGTGGCGGAGCTTCCAGCTTTCAGGAGCAGTTCTGGTTGCAAGATTAAATTCCAGAGTAGAAATGACATCCATGCTGTTAACATTAGTAATTACCACAGGGCTCCCTGGGTGGCCCAAACAGTTAAGCTCTCTACTACTAGCCAAAAGGTTGGTGGTTCAAACCTACCCAGAGGCGCCTTGGAAGACAAGCCTGGTGATCTGCTTCCAAAAGGTTACAGCCTTGAAAACCCTATGGGGCAATTCTACTCTGCACACATGGGGTTGCCATGAGTTGGGATCAACTCAATGACAACTAACAACAACAGTTACCTGAGAGTCCAGTTTCTGGCCACAGCAGAAACTACAGTGTTTAGTGCTCAGCTGAGGCACTGGGAGCAGTGGTGCTTCCCATCAGGCCAGTTCTGAGCATGATTCTGGAATGTTCCAACTAGTTCCAAGCCTAGTTGTTCAGCCTCCCAACAATTCTATGGACCACTCAATGTCCTTTTAGGAAATTTTTCGCTGAGACTCACCAAAATGGGTTCTGTTAATTGCAACTTGTAAAACCTTAGGTTGGTAAAATCTTAGGCTACAAAACTATTTCTAAGATCAGTACATAACCTCTATGAACATAGGGACTCAGCACCCTTGATGTTTCTAGAACACCCTGACACCAGAACTCTGAGGGTTCTAACACATTTTTATGTGGAGGGGGAAAATATACTTAGCCTTGAATTTATAATCTAAGAAATTATTCTCTGCCTAGGTACCACGTTTGTTAAAAAGCATTTTTAGCAGGCGAGATAAGGAAGACTGCTCTGGCCTGAAGGAACAACTGTGTAAAGAATTCAGCAAGCTAGAGGAGGTAACCCATGTTTTTTCTAGCTTTTATCAGAGTAACTGATACACTATTTCTACCTTCCTCTTCCTTCTACTCTTTACATACAGCTATTTCCCAAGTCACTTTATGACAATTAGTAATAATACCACATACGGATTAGTTTACAGCAGATTGTGGTTAGCTGTTCTGTTTAATAAATAAACCAAAACACCTAAAAATATTTTGTTATGGGCTTGCTTTTAAAATATTTTATTTATTTGCAGTGACATTAAAATGTCAAGGAAAAAAGAGAAAATTTCACCCACATTTCCACAATTTGTTACCTGTTTTCATTTTTCTATGCTTGCTTCCATTCCTTGTCCATATATTAAAAAATAAAAATTTAACATAACTCTAGTCAAAGCATAAATGTCACTGTGTTCTTTTTTTCCCCTTAATGTTACGTAGTAAACCCACAGCAAAGACTTTGGGAAGATGCTTAGGGAAGACCTTCTTTGGGGGAGAGCTGCCAGTTGGGCCTTTAACTAGAATTCCCCTTGTACTTGAGATATTCCATTCATAATCAACCTGAAGTTTTTACTTTTATGGGAATGCATCTCACATTTTATCAAAAAGTATGAAGTTTACCGTAGTTTTTATCAGAAACTTGTTTTCATCTTAAGAAAGTTTTCTGTTACTAGTTTGCTCATTTTTTTTAAAGTCATGAATGAGTGTTGACTTTTATTGAATGTTTTTCCTGCATCTGTTGCATCTGAGATGTCCATAGAATTTTTTCCCTATAAACTGAATACAGTGTTACTGGTAAGATTTTTCTGGTGTTGAACCATCCTATTACTGGGATAAAACCTACTTGTTCTTAATGGACTTTCATATACACTGTAGAATTATTTAATATTTAAAAGATTCTTGCATCTGAGTTCATAAATAACAGCGGCCCATAATTTTCTATTCTTACTGTATCCTTATTTGGTTTTGGTATCAAGGATATTCTAAACTAAAATGAGTTGAGTAACTCTCCCTCTTTTCTAATCTCTGAAACCATCTGATAGGGACTGGCTCTTTCTGTAAAACATTGGTACCAATTTACACTCCTATCAGCAGTGGTTCCATATCCTTGCTAACTTTGTCTTTCTTGTTCATTTTAGCCAGCATGGTGGGTGTGTAGTGGTATTGCATTTTGGTGTTAATTTGCATTTCCCTGATGAATAATGTAGTTGAGCACTTGTTCAAATGATTATTGGCCACTTGATCATCCTCTTTTGTGAAATTCAAGTCTTGCCTATTTTTCTAATGGGTTGTTTGCCTTTTTTCTTACTGATTTCCAGTTTTTCCTATATTCTGAATACCAGTCCTTTGTCTGGTACATGTATGACAGATATTATATTCTGTGTCTCTGCTTTCCAGTTTATTTTGTTGTTTTGTTTCATCCCAAACCAACAGACTCTAAAGCTTAAACTGACCAAATAGACAAAAACAAAAAACTTGAATATGGCAGGAATAAAGGCTCACCTGCTCTAATTTGCCTTCATCGTTTCTGATGCATACTCTTATGCTGTCTAATGTTCAGGTTCTGACCAAGAAGAAGACAACTTTCTTTGGTGGCTATTCTGTTTCTATGATTGATTACCTCATCTGGCCCTGGTTTGAATGGCTGCAAGCAATGGAGTTATCTGAGTAAGACATTTGAATACTTTGTGCATACATTAGGATAATGACAGTTGGAATGGTATATATTGTCCCTTTTTTCCTGGGGAAAAAAAATTAATAAAACTGGTGAGTGGGAACAATCAGACAGGATGAATGTCTTGGACTATCCAGGTTATGTCATATACCCACACTCACCATTGCGCCCATTCTGGAAGCAGGGCGGGGGGGTGTTCTGTGACATTCAGTAAAATGTTTTTGGTCTTATTCCTTCCCTTTTGGTTTTCTGAGTTGGAATTGACTCAACGGCAACGGGTTTGGTTTTTTCTTTGGTCTGGTTAAAAATCCACAAGGATGTGAACTTTTATAAGGATGTTGTATAGGATTGTATGGCTAATGCTACCTCCCATTTACCTGTAAGATTTCCACATTACTCTTTCCAAAGTCCATGTTTTGAAGGGAAATTTTAGATACGTGTGGGGCCCATTTTGGCTGTCTGTTGGCAGCCACCTAGGCTTCCTCCCACTTCTTAGAGTGATTTGCAGTTATTTTTAGTCACAATTTGGCCATAGAATAATGAAAATATTCCTCACTGTCTTTCATGTTTCATTTTAAAAAGTTATCAGTCTCTCAGTTTGGACAAAAAAGGATTCTAGTCCCAGTTCTCATGCTAACTAAGCAAGGTCACTTCCCTCTAGTCTCAAATTCCTCTTTCATAAAACAAACACCTCACAAATGTCTTCCAAATCTAATATTCTGTGATTACATGCATTTTAAAGAAAGATTTTTTTTATTGTGCTTTAAATGAAAGTTTACAATTCAAGTTAGTTTCTTATACAAAAATTTATACACACTCTGTTATGTGACCCAAGTTACTCTCCCTATAATGTGACAGCACACTTCTCCAAGATTTTTTTTTAAGGCTAGAGTAAAACAAAATGAAACTGCAGAGTGATGAAGATGGTATGTGGGAGACTTACTTACAATGCTTTCCTACTTAACCTAGCTCACGCTTTCCATTCTCGCCTCCTCCCACAGGTGTGCAGACCACACTCCAAAACTTAAGCTCTGGATGGCAGCCATGTGGGAGGATCCCACAGTATCAGCCCTCCGCATGGATGTGAAGGCCTTCCAAGGTTTCTTTGCTCTCTACTCACAGAACAGCCTTGAGGCCTATGACTATGGGCTCTGATGAAAGCAGGTTGTCAGCAATAATCTGTATGATCTTCACTAGAAGATCCTAGATATGAATAACATGCTTCTATTTTACCATTGGATCACCTTCTCTGACTTATTTGACATGGCCTGACTGTGGGGTCCCCTCAAAGCCTCCTGCATTTCCATTTCCAGTCTCAGGATATACTCAATCACTTTAAGGGATCTGCCATCATAGTCTATGGGGAAAACCTCCAAATTGGCTCTAGCTAGATCTGGTCTTCAGTCTAGATTTCTAACAGCCCAGAAGACATTTCCACTTGGATACCCTTCAAGAGATGCCCCTGGATTTCTTCCCTTTGAGCTTCTAAGTCCAGAAACTTTCAACTCCTCATTCTTTCCAACACTGACTTAATTTCACTCCTTCTTTTATTCCCATCGTCACCAGTGAAAACCAGACCTACATCACCTCAAAGTTAGGTAACTGGGTGGCCCCCTGGTTGGTTCCCTAGTCTCCAATCTCTTAACTCCTTTCATATCCTTCCTTCCAAACTCCAGGCTGTGCACAAAGCAGCTGTCCCATTCAAAACCACACCAGTTGCCACTGAGTTGATACCGACTCATGGTGACCTCATGTATGCAAAGTAGCGCTACACTCCATAGGGTTTTCAAGGCTGTGACCTTTTGGAAGCAGATTGCCAGGCCTTTCTTTCAAGATGCCTCTGGGTGGGTTTGAACCGCCAGACTTAAGCAATCGTTTGAGCCACCCAGAGACTCCAGGTGTCCCATATACATAATTAAATACTATGAAGACTACAGCCAATCCAGTGATGGCTGGATGAGTAAACAAGATTACAGCCTTGGAAACCTCATGGGGCAGCTGTACTCTGTCCTATGGGGTAGCTTTAAGTTGGAAGCGATTCTATGGCAATGGGTATGGGTAAAGTATCCCCACTCAAAATTATGCCATCTTCCATACATTCTCCTATTCCATTTTTCACAATTTCGTTTTTATCATCACATCACCTCCATGAGAAGGTAGGTCGGAGAGCCTCACCTCATTCTACAGATGATGCAACCAAGGCCCCGAGGTTACGTGAAACCTTGATGTGTTTACAGAACCTCTTACCATCGTAGTTAAGGCGGCTGTACACTCGCCCCTCTATGGTCTGGTTTCCCGTACTGATTTCTGCAAAGTTTGCCAGAGAGGAAAACCTCTGGATGATTAGTTCTACAGTGAAGTGTGTATAAATATCACTTATGGCTCACCGCTGGACTTCTGATTCAGTATGTCTGGGGTGGGCTGAGAAGTCTGTATTTGAAATGAGGCCCACGCTTATGCAGGCGCCTGGGGGCCGCAACCTGAGAGACTGCTGTGAAAAAAGGTTGACTTCACAAACGGCCTCCTGCCGCCTACCCACCCTCAGCTGCCAACAACGCCTAGGCTCCGGGCAGACCCATCTCTGCCGTCGTCCGCCTGCAAACCCTACAGGCCCCGGTTGGCGCCCCGAGGCTATTCTCCGGGCGGATTTTCAATCGGATGTGATCCCGGGTGCCGCGCGGCCACGGCCGACCACCACGAGACTTCCACTTCCGCCCGCCGCAGACACCGCGAGAGACCTACGATTCCGGTATTCAGGAGCCTATAACGCGGTCACCCATCGGCTCAGCTCGGCCTGGGGCACTTCCAAAAGCTTTTGTGATTGGCTGAAGCTCTGGGCGCCGCGGCCAGTTGGCGGGTAAGATCGCGTTCCAAGGGGCGGGGCGTTCCGCTGCCGCCGTTTCCCACCGCAAGCTGCGGATGCTGACGCATCTTTTCTTTCGCCTCCACGGGGAGTCCTGCCAGGTCCGCGTAGTATTTGAAGGGACGAGGAATTTGAGGTCGATTTTGAACCTTGGAGTTTAACGAATTCGGGGCCCAGAATAGTATTGCAAACTTTTTATTTTTGCCTGGCACATTAAAAGAAAGCCCAACTATTTACCTTTAGCAACCTTTCATAAAAGATTTTAACTTCAAAAAAGGTAGAAGCATCTTGGAAAAAAAAGGCTAAAAAAAAGTTGGGGAAATGTCAAATGGACACAGGAGCCAACTGAAGTAGCTCCAAAGCTGGAACAATTCGAACAAAAATAATAAGAGTATTGGATTATAATGTCAAGTATAAAACATCCATGAGTCCATACTGATAATAAATGACAGAGAAGAGACAAATCTCCCAAGCAGAAGAATTCCAAGAAGTTTATGTAGATACTCTGCCCTTAAGGAGGTGGAGCATAACTCCCACTCCTTAAAAATGTGGATTTTGCACAGTGACTTCTTTGCAAAGAGTTCAGTATGGAAAGGGGGGTGGGTGGGAAGTAACTTTATAGTGGAGAAACCTGACAAATACTACCTCAGCCAGGTGATCAAGGTCAATATCATCAGTGATAAATTGTGTTAATTGTATGTACCCTTGATACGGCATTTTACCTCTGTGGTCTTCCTCTGCATGTTGCTGGGTGGAAACTCCAGGTTTTCCTGGAGCGACTCAGCACAGCCAATAAACAAAGGGCCGAGGTGGGAGAGTAGAAAGTCACCTTTATTTTATTGCCCAAGGAAAGGAGCAGTTGAGCTGCTACCTCCAAGACTGCTCGCAGGCGGCTTGGGGAGGCGGCCTTTTACAGAGCAGACAAGGAAATGTAAATTTAGTGTGAATAGTCAGGATCAACCTTCGCAGGCATCTGGAGCTTCAGCACGACTGTGCATTTTCTCTATTGAAGGGTTCAATTCCCCAGGATGGAGGAAGAGGTCGATTTTCCTTCATTAGCATGTTAAGCCTTCACCCAGAGGTGGGGTCCTTATATGTATTTTGCACTTAATGAGCTAGTAGGTCACTTAAAGTGCTAACATGGCGTTGAAAACCTGTTAAAACTGGTAGAGGCCAGCTATAGCTGTTCTGTGGTTATCTTGTCAAGGACAATTTCAGAAGAATGTGTGGCCTATTCTACTCTTGTAGGAGGATAAGCCAGAGCAGGTGTCTCCTAGAAGGGCTGAGCTCTGAGGCTGCCTGTCTCACCCATAACCTATAACTCCAGTCTAGCCATGAGGAAAAAACATCAGACAAGGTCCAACTAAGGAACATTCTACAATACCCGTGCCAGTATTCCTCATAATTGTCAAGGTCATCAAAAACAAGGAAAGCATGAGAAACTGATACAGTCGAGAGGAGCCTAAGGAGAGATGATGACTAAGTGTAACGTAGAATCCTGGAGCAGAAAAAGGACATTAGGTAAAAACTGAGGGAATTTGAAAAAGGTGAGGCTTTAGTTAATAATAATGGATCAATATTGGTTTATTGCTTGTAACAGTTGTACCATACAAATGGTACAGGGGAAACTGGAACTCTGTACTATTTTTTTTTTTTTTTGCAATTTTTATGTAAATCTAAAACTGTTAAAAAAGAAGTTTTTTTTTTTTTTTTTTTTTTTTTAACAAAGGACTATAAGAATAAAGAACAGACAGACCTTTAAACCAAATACCTTTAACTTAAAAAACAACTCATTAAATTGTTTATTTTTCTGGTTTGTCTGGAAAGAGGTGAAAACCACTCCAGTCCACCAGTTCTCAGCCCTGCATTGGGCACCACTAGTTTAACTATACCACATAATTAGGGTACTGGCAGTCAGGGGAATTTGGTACCCGGAAATTTGCTGTCTTGGTAAAGGCTATGAAAGTCTTCACTGTTACAGTCAAATAATAATAAACACAATAATAGATTCTGTTGAATGCTTAATACTAGACATATGCTAAGTATTAAATGCTTTTCATCCAGTATCTGAATTAATCCTCCTCAAAGCACATGATGTATTGGTACTATTAACTCCAAAAAATGAGACCACCAGGGCATAGAAAGTGGAAATTTGACCAAAGTCATCCAGCTGGTAAGTGCTGACAGAGATTGGAATCCAGCCTGAATGCTTAGCACTAGATTACCTTTCATTCGGCAATGATACTGTTCTTTTTTGTTGTTCTTGAAAATGTACACAGTAGAACACACTAATTCAACAATCCCTACATATACAGTTCAGTGACATTGATTACATTCTTCAAGTTGTGCAACCATTCTCACCCTCCTTTACGGAATTACCATATTTCTATGAAAATAGCGCAAACCTTCTACATTTGTATGCCAACCGTGCCCTCCGCTGCTTTAGGTATTTTTATAAGCATGCTATGCTATTTTTTTTTTCAGCAACATGTAAATATATGGTATTTCTCCACCATTAACCTGAACTCACTGCCACCTAAGTTCCCTCTCTAACCTTTCAGGTTGCTCTTGTCCCTTTGATCCCACGTAGATAGTTCAGCAAGACTATTCTTGAGATAAGAGCTTACACTTCTGCCCCAGTATCTTTTTATTCATCAACTCTTAGCATTTAGAAGTTGAACCAGGAGAAGATAGTATCCAACTTTTTGACACCACCAACACTATGGGAGGACTTGATGTTCCTTTTCCAATCTAAATGTGTTTTGACTTTCCAGATATTTGACTTTTGCTAATTTCAGGATCTTGAAAATTTGCCTCTGATTATTCAAATGTTATTATGTCAAAATGTTTTTTTTCTTTGATTCCTCAAGTGTAAAGAGAAATAGGGATAGAAAATCAGAATCAAGTACTTAACAAAGTTTTCCTTTGATCCTGCTTTCTCCCTAGTTGGGAAGATGTTCCTCTCTTGACAACTATGTTGTAGTTAGATGCTGTCAAGTCAGTTCCAACTCATAGCAACCCTATGTACAACAGAATGAGGCACTGCCCTGTCCTGTGCCATCCTCAAAATCGTTGTTGTGCTTGAGCCCATTGTTGCAGCCACTGTGTCAATCCATCTCATTGAGGGTCTTCCTTTTTCTCTGACCCTCTAGTTTACCAAGCATGATGTCCTTCTCCAGGGACTGGTCCCTCCTGATAGCATGTCTGTGATGGTTAAGATTGTATATCAACTTGGCTAGACCATTATTCTCAGTGTTTTAGCAGTTGTATAAGGTTGTGATCACCCCCATGATGGAATCTGCTGAGTGGTACTGGTGGAGGCGGGGCCTGTGGCAGCTCACTGCCCTCTCAGTTTCATCTCTCTGCCTTTTGCAGGTTACTTTCTGCCTGCTCACCTTGCCAAGGTTTTTGGCTTGTTCCAGACTCAGCAGCTGCCTCTAGTTGTCTCACCTCCGGTTCGTGGGACTTGAGCTAGCAGCTTACCCGTTGATCTCGGAATTCGTCAAACTTCTCAGCCTGTGAGCAAGAGTCCGGTTCCCCGACCTGCTGACCTTGGGTTCACCAGCCCCTGCAGCTACGTGTATCAGGAGAAACCTTGAGGTCTTGTCTGCTGATCTTGGAATTCATTGATCTTCACAGCCTGTGAGCGGGAGCCCCTCTCCAACCTGCTGACCTTGGGTTCACTAGCTTCTGCGGCTACTTGAACTGGGAGAAACCTCTACCCTGATCTGTGGACTTGGGACGTTTTAGCCTCTACAACTATGTGAGCTATTTCCTTGATATAAATCTCTCTCTATATATATTTATACGCTTTACTGGTTTTGCTTCTCTAGAGAACCCAGCCTAAGACATTTGGTACCGAGAGAGTGGTGTGCTGCTCTAACAGATACCTAAAATGTGGAAGCAGTTTTAAAACTGTGAATGGATAGAGGTGTGGCAGTGACAGAGGACCAGCAGCAGCAGAGAACCTGCAGCAGCGGAACCAGGAGACCAGTTTGAGATGGTGCTAGAGCCGACCCACGGAGCGAGAGAGCTGAGTGCCTGTGTGCAGGCTTCCTGGCGGAGTGGGGTGCCTCTGGGTACTTATTGGTGGAGCTAGGCTTGCTGACCCACGGAGCGAGAGAGCTGAGTGCCTGTGCGCACGAGGCTTTCTGGTGGGGTGGGGTGCCTCCGGGCACTTATTGGTGGAGCTACAGAGCTTTGGAACACTTGCCCCAGCAGGGCAGATGTGGGCGTGAGGCCCGAGGAGTTGAGAGGCCAAGAAACCAGAAAACAAGCTGAAGAGACAAGGGACACAAGAAGCTGAGCTGCCTCGGTCTCAAAAGGTATGGCCGTGACCTCAGGGGTTTCAAACGGTGGAGTTGTCACTCCAGTGGAGTAGGAGAATGGTGCACCTAAAGCCGAGGGAGCAGAGTTGCTGTCCCAGTGGGCCTGGGAGGCGGAGCTGAAGCCCAGAGCCGAGGGGCCTCCACTCAAAGTCCAGAGACTGTGGCCAATACCTAGAGTCTAGAGGGCAGGGCTATTGTGTAAATTGTCTCAGAGAAGAGAGGATTTTATTTTGAAAGCCTTGAGGGCTAATGTAATTTGTTCTGCTGACTTGCTTGGTGCCTGTTATCCCTTCTTTTCCTCTAGTTTCTCCAATTTGTAATGGAAATGTCTAGCTTGTGCCTGTTCTGCCATTGTACCTTTGGAAGCAAATAACTTGTATTCTAGATTTCACAGATGAAGAGGAATTTTTGGATTTTGGACTTGGAGTTAAGACTTTTGCTATGATATGATGGGGTGAATATGTTTTCCATGTTTCAAGGATGTGATTTTTTTGGGGGCCAAAGGGTAGA